CCCGACGGGGCGGGTTTTTTTCGCCCCATTCAAGTCGAGGCAAGTTTTTTTGCCATCACTACTTAAAACATGATTTTATAACAATACTTGTAATGATATCGAAAATTTTAACTAGATTTGTTAATAATTATGAAACATTTTCATGTTGATTTGTTAATTATTAGTCAGTCACATTTAAAAAAAAAAAAAAATTCTTAATAATAATTCTCCAAATTTCATAATAAGATTTATAACGGTGTTCTTTTAACTAAAATGGTTTCATCAAAAAGAAAAGTATGAAAAAGCATATCATATGAAATAAAAAAGGAAATAAATAGTTTAAATAGAATAATAAAAAATTCTTATTAAGAATTTTACAAATTTCATAATAAGATTTATAATGGTGTTCTTTTAACTAATGGTTTCATCAAAAAGAAAGTACGAAAAAATATATCTTATGAAATAAAAAAGGAAATAAATTGTTTAAATAGGCTAATAAAAATTTTAATAAAATAAAGGGTAAAATGAGAAATGTAGCATTTGTTACAAAAAGTAAACCTCGACGAAGGATTCTAAATTTTTTAAAAAGGGAGGGGTGTGTATGTTATATGCTCCAAAAAATTATTACATATCAATCATATATGCATAATCTAGTATTCTCAATTCTACCTTACCAAACATGTCATTAGAATACGTAGCTATGTACAAACAACATGGGGAGAAAACCAAAAAGTACTGTGAAGGAAAATTGAAAATCTCGTCATCACTACTCATGAATTATGCTCTACAATGCACATTTGTCAATGCCTGTATTATAAATATATCCGGTGGAACGACAAGCATCCAGGTGCACATGAAACTCGACCAATATCTCTTTCTACCCTAGTTGGCGGAACTTAAAAGTGCAGTACCCGATGATTTTTCATCAAGAAGTCTACTAACCACGGCCTGCAAAATTAAAATAGGTTACCCTTTTCTGTTTCTTTCACTTTTACACAGAATGTGTATTTTAGAAGCTGAGCCAAGCTTACCATCATTTCCCCCATTCTAGAATGATATGTGAGTGAAAATCAAATTTTAGTATTTCATGTAAGGCTTGGAAACTATACCTCTTCAGCACTGGTGCTTGAAAGAGAAAATGGCTCTCTTTCTCGAATCCCACCATTGTCTGCAATAATTCTTTTGAGATCCTGCAGAAATAAAGATGAGCTCATCAATAACCCAAAAAAAGAATAAAAATAGGATCTTGCTACTCAAGTCATGGAAATCCCAAGAATTTAAACAGATTACTATAACACCTCTGTGCGTATAGAAACACACACGTACAGTGTCAGCATATCCCTTATCTGCACTATTTCTTTTTTCTTTTATTTTTTATTTTTTGAATTTTTGTTCTGACTTCAGTCGGCAAAATGATTTGGGGATTTAACTTCGATAATCACGGGAAAATGTTTACTTCTAATGCATCCTCAAAGTGCATTAGGAGCATTCTTTCAGTCACCTCTCTTGAATCATTTGAGATGTTCATGGAATTCAGGTTGAGTCATATAGATAATGCGACCGTTTAGCATTTGATTTACAGAAAGACGGCTGCAAATAATATTCTACTCATTTAGTGGAAGAAGTTTTGGAAATACAAACTGAAGATTAAGCATATAGGGACAATAAGTCCTAGTATAAGCAAAGACCACACTAGGATGACCACTAATGGCAATGAGAAGGAGACGTCACTAAAAATCTTCTCCATATTTACAACCTAACACTGCAAGATTAAATCCCCTTGACCCGCAAAGCAAATGAGTTTGGCCAAGATGTTCAGCTAATAGGTCCAAAATACTCCGAAAACAATTGCCTATTCAATCAAGCAAGAAGTCCTTGAACATAAATGTTTGGTTTCACAGTCAAAATTGAAAGACATACCCTTTCCGTCAAGATTTCATACTGAAGCAGTTCTTCCACAATCTTCTCCAGAACTATGCGATTTTTCTGAAGCATCATTTTTGCCTTATCATATGCCAAGTAATAAATCTGTACAAAATTATCATTTTATGTCAAAAATTGTATTGTTAAATATCTAGTTTGACTTTTCTGATTTACAATCAAATAATGTGACTATAAAACAAAACTTCCCTCCATGGACTATGCCCAAAATTATTTGCAGTGCAAACTCAGTCAACTGCTTTGGGGGAGCCAAAGGCATACCGTGCCATTATCATAAGAAAGTGCAAAAACTATATCAACCTAAATTTTTTTTTTTGGATTCACTTAGAAGAGATCACAATCCTAGAAAGGAATCGAGGACCAGAGATCTTGTCAGTCTAATAGATAAAGAAAGTAATAATACTTCAACGTAAAACATACCAAAATTATTTCTGTTACTAGGCCACTATAAAAATATTCAGTAACTAACAAAAGAGTATGGCCGGATTTATAAAAAGTTTGCTAACTGTGATTTGATTAAATCTGATGGTGTGAATAATTATAAACAAATAAAAGAAGAGTAAAATAAAATTAAAATACAAGAAAGAGTATTTAACCTTTGCCCTATATTGAATAGACAATTTAGCTTTACGATCTTTAGTCTCTCAACTCATTTTCTACATATGGAGTTTGTTCTTGATAACGAGTTTTGAGAATTTCTCATTGGTTTAGAGAAGAAACAAAGAAACTAGAGTGTATTTTCTATTACTTCCGCAGGGTGTTTTATTACTGATTTAAGCTACTCCAAGTTGGGTCCCAAGAAAGTGAGAAACCATGTTCTAGTACCAGTGGTAGTCACAGTTTGTCAAGATTTACTTCACATAAGAAAAGTAAATGGAAGCCACCATCAGGGTTGAAAGTGAAAATGTTGACGCTCTTTGGCGGACCAAATAGATTACTAAAAAATGTGAACTTCAAAAGAGTTATTTGTAAACTAGGAAGTCGTTCAAAGATTGTCTCCCTTCTTAATCAGCATCTCATATTGTCATCCAAAGATGCCCACACTTATTAACAAAACCTCTCTTTTATTTCCGAAATGCGTAATTTTTAAGTTTGGGGAGTTGGAAGCTTTGGAAGCACAAAAGAGAGATATAAATGTAAAACTATTATTTAGTCCACGCAGATAATTATGCACAAACAACATATTTTATCCACAGAAGCCAATAATCGGACCACATGGATAATTAGGCACAAACGTACTTTTTCAACTTTAGCAGCCATCTCAAGCTCGAAGTTGTCTCCCATGCTTAAAACTGTTGCCTGCAATACAGAAGGCATGCGAATAAATCATAGCAACTGCAAGGAAATAATCAAGGCCATCACGGTTTCTTGAGAAAGAAAATAATTGTCTGTCCAAACTACAAACAGATTCTCTTTACAACATTAAAGATAAAAATATATATGTGCACATACTTTCGTTTAAAAATAACATCTCGGTAATGCTTGTACCAGCTCTTTAACAACAGAGACTAGCAGAATTAGTACTGTGTGCTATACTTGTGTAGTGCTATGACTTACGAAGTAATCATTATACTTAATTAAGTATTCAAGGCTTGTCAACTTCCTTTAATACGAATAAAATATTGCACAGTTACATATTCAAAGATGAATACCGCATTGTTATAATGGTAAACTGTTGAACCATCATGCCATCCAGACTGGATAACCATTCGTGTAGCTATCTGTACCAAAGGAAAATTAGATTCATAAGATCATTAGTATCGGCTTCAAAAAACCTTGTTAGAGAGAGAGAGAGAGAGAGAAAACCTCCTGTGCCTGCTTCAACTCTGATGAAGAAAGAACATTTTCTTCCCCAAATGGAAGCAGCAGCTGGGATGCAACATAAGAGCCAAAGCAAAATACAAGTTTTTTTTCAAGATATGCCCTTGATTCTTCATTTCCATACACTGAACCTTCATTTCCAGCCTTACTAATCTTGGTGCATGCGATTCCCTGCAAAAAGAATGAGCCCAATTCCTGTAAATATTTCACAAGAAACGTGTTGAGAACATGACTCCAGAAAGTACATTCCAGAGTCAACCTCTTCCAACTCTAGCATAATGGACACACCTTTGAAAGTGTAAATACAATGTAATAAAAGAAACTCTGTAGGAAGAAGAATTGTCAAAAGAATTCTATCCGAACACGGATAAAAGTAACTAGCATGCTGGAGAGAGTAAACACCGGAAACCTGTGCATTTATGTGCAAGAACACTTAAGATTAAGTGTTATTAAGATGATATCAAAAGGATAATTTTCATCAACTAATTCTTAAAAAGATGATCGAACATGCAAGATATGGAACTATCTCCCTCTTGTGAAAATTAATCAAAAGTGGCCAACATTCCCTTTTTGTCATAAGCTCCCTCGTCATAACTCTGTTGGAGTTACCCATAAAACAGATTGACTACTAGAAGGGAAAGGAACCACACTTGCAAACCAAAAAGGAACTAAATTAAGTTGGTGAAGTGAGGCATAAAAAATGACACCATATCTTACTGAATAATCTCCTCACAGATAATGGTGTCCTACTTAGATCCTTTAACCCATGTGATGATAACACCACTAATTGTCCTGTCATTTAGAAAATTACAAGTGTTCAAAATTGTACAGGGTTGTAATTATAAAGCACTTAAGTCGCACAATTTAGCATTTGTCCTGAATACTATCATGCCCACAACATCAGCTTCTTCAGATGTAGAAAACGAGGTTTGAAACACTGACATTCAAACATTTCCAAAGCATAAATACTCAATTACCTTGTACGCAGGTCAATTTAAAATTTGTAGTATAATTACTATTGACCTATAATAGTGGTAGAATAAACGTAACTCAATAGGTAAAGTGAAATGCAAATACTCGTAGTGGTAATATTACATATATAATATATTCAAAAGTGTATAATCAGTAGTTGAAACAGAATTGCTACCTCCCAAGAAGAAGGTTCAAGCCATAGATTATCAACAACATCAAAATTTGGTAATAGAAGAGCCATAAGACCCCGACCAGCAGCCCAAACCGCATGTGGAAATTTGGTTTCCCTTGTCCACTACAAGAAAATAATAGTAAAAATTAGTTCCTTGTCTAAAAATTTCAGGAAGTTTGTTCAAACATTCTGATTGTTCGTACCACATAAAAGTAAGGAACTTAATTACAAACGCTTCATCACGTGCAAGAGAAAGATAACAATGAATTATAAAAACGAGAGCGAACAAAAGTTTCAATAAAAAACTGATTTTGCAGTGCCTAGAAAAAATGAGAGAGCGCAAAGTGGTGACAATGATATCATGAGCTTCCAATGATAAAATATTATATTTATAATCCTCTAGTTCCATGCACAGGAAAGATTCCTATAAGCATAAATCATACGTAATCAAACAAAGATAATCAATGAAGCTAATTTATGTAGGAAACAACCAATAAAACACGATAAAATAAAACTCTAATTACTTTTCATAAACTAAGTACCCAACTTGGAAAATCTTCCAAATAATATATATAATACGATCTCCATCATTTCTTCTAGGCTGAGAGAACTCAACTCGGATGAGGTATACCACAATTGCTTACCTAAACATGGCGATCTTTTTTCCACACCAAATAACGATATGACCATCAAAAGTTCAAATAATCTTCAATAACATCATCTAAACAAGGGGACGATCTTTCCTTCGGATCCAAATAGCAATAATGTATGCAACTCATCCACAAAATTTGCAACAGAATTCACATTATGAGCATTATGCATTGGCACAGGAGACTGACGAGCAGAAACAAATGATTGCAATAAAGTCCTAATTACTTTTCCTAAAATAAGTATCTAACTTAGAAGGTCTTCCAAATAATATATGTAATAGGACCGTCATCACCTACCCATCAATATCCTTAGAAGCTACTTCTAGGTAAAAAACGTGCATAATATGTAAGTTCACTCTTCTTTGATATAATTTTTGTATTTTTATTTCTTTAGTTAGCAGGCTGAGAGAATTGCTAAAACACATGTACTGAGATATGGTTACTCTAATTACTTAGAAAAAAGGGATACCTAAACAAAAATTACAAAAGCAAGATAAACAGATTATAAACTGCAAAAAAAGATGTAATAAATGACAATTGTCTGAAAGGTTACTTACATCAAGAGGTGGATTCAGCAGTTCTATACCATTACTTATTTGGCCATATGGTTCCATCAAGTCAACCACATTTTGCAAATCCTCTTTTGTCAATGTCAATCCAAGATGATTTACCAGCATGTTGCTCAACTTTTTCACAACTTTGGTTTTCCTAAGCCACCTGGGGACCATGCCACCAAAAGTCTGCATGTAGCAATTAATATAGAGTAAAATCCCTAAATACAAACTAAGCCTCTGTTTGGAAAGAATTTATGAACAAACAGATATAGTCATATAGAAATGAGTGGTGGATGAGTGGATGATACTTGTGGATCCATTAGAATGTGTGGTAGAAAAAGAAGTTTGACCGTTTATAAATGATTTATAAATTTTGCCAAAGAGTGGCTAAATAGTTCACAGCATATTATGCCCCTAGAAAATCAAAGAAAGTGGTACATCAGGTGCTTACAGATTATTGATTTCTTTTTTGGATGGTCAGTTAATTTCCTAAAGTTTAATATGAAACATTTTCGGCCATTATATGATTATAGAACAAGATTAAAAAAATGATATGAACTTTCATTTATTTGGAAAATTATTTGCACTGTGTCACAGGTCAATTCACTGTGCATAAAGTGACAAGGAGAAAATTTTGCTCAAGCATTAGATGAGACAAAATTGACCAAATGACATCAGAAAAATGTTAAGATAATAATGATGATAATAGTGGCAGCCAACATTATCACTTTACAATGCGGAATGGGGAGGAAGAGAAAATGAGTCATATGAGAATGCCCCTAACCATAATGTCTATTGAGTCAATGAGCCAGAACTGACACGAAATGTATTTGTACAATAAGGGATAGCATAAAGATCATGGATGAAATAAAATATTTTGCAAAGTAATTATGAGGATGATATCATGATGATGGGAGCAACGGTTCTTACTGCAAACCAGCTGCAATAGCTCATAAGCTCATCCATGTCAACAAACTTGCTCCTGAAAGCACTACCTTCCAAAGCCACGGGTACAAGTTTTAATTCTATAGGACGAAGAAGAGCAGTTTTTTCAGCAACCTGCAGGACGGTGTCTCAGTGTTTAGGAAGGACATTAATAAGCTTGTTAACAATATGAAACATGCATTTTTGGGTACTAGATTGGTAAATATTCCTTCTTGTTAGATTATCAATTTGGCATTAATAATCCGATAAGACTAGTACATGATATACTTCTCTAAAAGAGATTAAAATTTTCATATAATTGCGTGAAAGGTTAGAGTAATCAAGTAATCATGTGAGTAATTGTTGCACAAGAAGTTCACTGAACTGGCCTCGGGAGTTGGAGAAGTCACACGAAAGTTCAATGATTGTCAATGATGGGTGCTGTGCTCTGGGGTTTTGTATGTGATCATCAGACCTTAGACACCCCGGTTGTCTTGCATATGAATTTTGCCATGGTTTATTATTTCCATAAAGGAATCGATCTGACCAAGGGATTGACTAAGTCATGGTAGTAATAATCATGTATGGAGGAGAACAGTGCCCATTGCCCAGTCAACGATATTAACAGCAAGATAAGGCTAAGCTATACCAATCAATTGTCCGTCCATTAACTCCAAAAGAACAGGCTAGAAGCAGCAGGCTACCATGCTACAGGCAGGCAAGGGGTGGACGTGGGTGAGAGAGAGTGAGAGAGAGAAGTATTTATTTAAAAACTAAGCCCAGTTAAGTAATTAGCAATGAGGAAAAAATTGGAAACTTGTGTTGACCATCACCTTTAACTAATAAACCAGTTCAAGTAAAACAATCCCAACCAACAGGAAATGGTGGAAGTATTATTAAATTAGTTAAAAGATGCTCGAGTTCTCGATAAACCAAACAAATCAGGGATTTTAGGAATTTGGTCAGTAACATGTCAAACACGATAGCATATTGAAAAGGATGAGCCTTCAGAAGCCCCCAAAAACCAAAGCTTAAGCAGCAGAGAATTTCTAAATTGAGTCGAGAAACAACTTATCAAATGGCACGTCATAAAGAGTCATGTTATAATAAAATTTTTGAGGAGAGGAAGAAAGAGAAGATCAAGATAGTGCCACAAGATAACAAATAAAATGAAGAGCTTCGGAAAAACTTGAACCAATCAAGGTAAACCATTATAAGCTCCTATTTTAATTTTCCTTTCCTTAACTAGTCGCAATACAACATTTTTTCAATAAAAAAGTTAATGAAATTATATTCTATTGTAAAACAAACATGCAACTGAAAAGTGGGCAACAACCTAACAGAAAGTACTTGTGATTACCTTTCTCCAATCTACAAAGTCAATAAGATCCTCATCCATAGTTTCTTCTGCAGCAACACGCAGTATCTTCTCTCTTTCTGTTTGCGTTGGCCGCTGAAGGTGAAATATCCTATCCATTCTACCAGGACGCCGTAGTGCCTCATCTATTTGTTTGAGATTACGAGTAGTGGCCATCAAAACCACCCCATCTTGTTTCTCAAACCTGAAAAGGACACTCATGTTAACATAAGAACAAAATGATTAATGAGACAAAAAGAAAATTTGATTTTGGAGTCAAAAATTCATACAGGTAAGACGTTTTTACCCACTTCCAGAGCAACAAGGCGATGCGAACTATTAAATAGTGTTTCAATTTTGAAAATAAAGCATACTCTCATGCAAACTTGGTAGGCCTTAGGAGCCCTAAACTCATACATGTAACACGCATACCCAAATAATCAAGACATTCCATGGCACTGCTGCCTACTCTAGAATAGACAATAGTAATGCTACGTGAACCCTCTTTTTTTTTCCCTCTTGAACATTTTGACATGAGCATATGAGTAAGAAAATCTACATCCTAGCTTAAGCTATGAGACGGAATGTTGACACGTGCAAGTTGCATTCGACATATTTACAATCTGAGTCAAACAAATGGAAATTCCCTTCTTATCTAAAAGGAAAAAATGCACTCACAGCATTAAACCAATAGGATGTCCAGTCCTTCATGTTGAGGACAAGTTTGAGGTGGAGACACTTTATTCATGTGACAGTGAGAAAGTCACCCAAACCAAGCAGGATATATTGTTTAAAGTCAATGCATCAATTGAATGAGTTCAAGAATGAAAGCAAAATCAATAACTAAAGCAAGAGAGGNTCAAGAGGGCGGAACAACTGGCTGATATAATGACACATGGAGTTGCTAGTGGTTCATTCTATACAATGCTATCCAAGTTGGGCATGTGTGATATCTATGCACCAACTTGAGGGGGAGAGTTGAAATATATACCAACTTGTGTCCCTGTAATTGTTAGGGACTTAGATGTAAATTTGTAAATTCCTCTTTTCCATCCTTGTATATAGGTTGGTAGAATATTAATAATAAACAACAATTTTTCTCCTTCCAAAATTATCACGACATGGTATCAGAGCCTGGGGCTTTAATTAAACCCACCAAACGCTAGTACCGACGCCAGCGACGCTCCTTACCGGTTACCCAGACATCGACGACCTCCAGTGTAGCCTCCTCTGTGTCCGAACAGTACCCAAGTCCCTATTACGCGAACCCTAGGCGCACGGGTCTTCGGCTCCTTGGGTTTGGGACCTTCTTTTTGACCTGGTTCTCGATTACCCAGCTTCGGTCGGCCCTTTCGTAGCTCCGGCACTGACGTGGCGCCGTTTTTTCTCCCTTTCTGGTGCAATTTCCCACGGTTCGCCAATTTTTCCCCTGGCCCCACAGAGTACACTACTGCTCCTCGGTTTTCTCTGTCTTTCCCAACTTATTCTTGATCACTTACGTGTTTTGTTGATTAAGAGATTGGATTATTTAGTTTTTTGAAGTTTTATCTGGGTTTTAAATCAATAACTAAAGCAAGAGAGGCACACATGAGGAACCTTCCAATTACTAGTTTGGCCCCTTAAAATGATGCCAGTAGTTCATATTGACAAATCGTTTTTGTATGCTCTTCAAATCTTGTATGGATCTTTCAGTAATCAACAAAGGAGTTGGTTCATTCCAAAGCAATATAGAAATGGATTGAACTCAGAAAACAGTAAATCCTCATTTGATGAAACGATGTATAATTCATTATAGAAGCTATTTTGCCAATACGCAAAGAACAATAAAAGCCATTACCTTCATATTTCCTTGGGCTTCTAAGTGCATAAAATCAAATATATGGCTAAACTTCTTAGTGCATTAAGTCGAATGTCTTGCCAATTTGAAATACACCAACTCAACACCTTTCAGCTCCACCATTTACTTTTGTTTAACAAAGCTTTGAAGGTTTTTTCATTACCCAATAAAACAACAACAAGAAACTAAGCTTCATTCCCAATAAATTTGGGAGTTGGCTACATGAACGTTATTTGTCATTCTGCTATGCTCATTGCTAGATCTACTGGGAGATACGGTGAAACTAGATAGCAACTACATAGAATGTTAACTCTAGCCTAGCCTCCCTCGTCTAACTTGCTCTACCAAAATCGTGCAAATAATGAATAAACTACTGCACCATATTTCTACTATGACTAAAAAGACATTCCATTTATTCTCTCTCTTATTCTACTGAATATTAAAAAATTTTAGACTCCAAAGTTTGAAAGTAATATTATGTCCCATCCTAGCTTATCAACTAAACCATATCATCATCTGCAAACAAGATACACGAAAGGACCTTGTCTTTGATATACTTGGTAAGAAGAAAGAACAAGGTTAAAGAGCAGTGACTTATGAGTTTAATACCTCCATGTTAGTGGAATCTCGGAGTATGTTTGGCAAGTGTTTATAAATACTTGCTAAAAGTCGTACATTTTTTATCCACATATTTCGTGGGATCTTCAACTTCAACTACTACTCACTTACCAATGACTCATTGCACCACTCATTGCTATCTGTTCATAAACGCGTGCCAAACATATGCCCAAACCAAACTTCTTTCTTAACACCGAAAACAAGTAACTAATGGCAGTATAAAAAAGATCCAATGCAGAATAATGATGTACACAGTATATTTCTTATAGATCATTTGCAGAATAAATACAAACAACAAGCGATTTACCCATCGAGCTCCACAAGTAGTTGATTGATGAAAGCCTCGTGGTCCTGCTTTTTGGTGTGAATAAACTTGCCACGGACACCAGCAAAGAGATCAAAATCCTCCACAAATATAATGACAGGAGCCTAGATATATGATTATTCATGAGTACAGAAATCGTCTAACATGTGTTAACAGGAAAAAACCTAATAATCTGAGACAACTGATGTCCAAAATCTGACAGAAATAAAAGAGAGAAAATATTTACTAAAGATACATGTGAGGTAGTGAATAACAAGACAAAAGAACAAACATTAAGTAACTATATTTTTGGATTTCTTCTTTCTTATATCGAGGGTTTTGGATTTTAGTTTCGTCAAACGGTGCCTAAGTTGTGAAGTTTCCTTGACTTATCTTGGCAGATAAAAACCATATACCAGAACTAGAACATCACTGCAAAACTTTCATCATAAATTATCTAGAGAGAGAGTGAAGAGAAGGAAAATAAAACGGGGTTTAGATAAATTGGGTAAGTTAATAACAATTCTTCACTTTGACTGAATCGCGTCTATTTGACAATAATAAAGTTAAAGAGGAATTTGAAAAGAAGAAGAAAGAAACAGAAAAATAAAAAGAAATAGGTTAATGCTTAAGTAACAAGTTTAACATTATCCGAGCAACTGTTTGATTGCTCCGCAATTGCCTCACAGTCTCATGCAAATAATTATTAACAGATAATTGAAGCAAAAATTATTTCTTTAGAAACAAGGTATACCAAGTCCAGGTGAAAAAAAGCCCCGAAAAAGTCGTTACCAATCACAAGATAGAAACTAAAATCTTATGTATGAGAATGCAATAAATTCATGTTATTAAACAAAGGTGTCAAGTTCCCTGCCTTGATAATATCAATATCTAGGGCGGGACAAAACTCTCGAAACGAACTGAACCCGAACCGAGTTGTTCTTCTTAAATAAAATATTCAAACGGATATCTGAATCAAGAAACGACGGGTTTGGTTCGATTCTCG